TGTACATGAATGGTTATAGCAATATTATTTGTAATAGTCAAAATGTGGAAACAACTCAATGTCCATCAGCTGATGAATGGATAAGCAAACTGTGGAATATCCATACAATGGAATATTTATTTGGCCATAAAATGGAATGAAGCACTGATACATGTTACAACATGGATGAACCTTGAAAACATTTTACTAAGTGAAAGAAGCCAGACACAGAAGACAACATGTGATTTCATTCACATGAAATATCCAGAAAAAAAATATATGTAAATACTTATATACATGTAAATACATATATTTTTAGTATAATACGCAAATTATTATATAATAAGTAAACATATACATACAGAAAGTAGATTAGTGATTGCTCAGGACTGGAGGGGATGGAGAGACAGGGTGGTGATCCCTAAAGGGTACAGGGTGTCTTTCTACAGCGATGAAAATGTTTTTGAGGTGATGAAATGATGGTTGCACATATCTGTGAATACACCAAAAACCATTTAGTTGTACACTTTAAACAGGTGTGAACTTTAAATGGGCAAATTGTATGGCATGTGGATTATATCTCAATAAAACTATTTAAAAACAAATAGCTCATGTTAAAACTGACCAAGGTATCATGGTTCTGCCTTGTGAAGACTGAGAAGCAGAAGCTGCACATGCAGTGAAAAGAGCAGGAGCTTTGGAGCCAGTGACCTTGGACACCTTGTTTAGCTTCTCCAAGGCCTAATTTCTTGTCTGTACTCTGGGGTTAGTGACCCTGACTCACCACGCCGCTACGGCGTACAGGGAAGTCCCCAGCCCTCCAGTTCTAAATTTCCCCGACTTCAAAGTTTGAGGCTTGCGTGAAGAGGTAGAGGTGGGTGGTGTCTGAAGACAGAGAGGCTGCCGTTGCCTTGAAGTCACACCTACAAGGATCTTTCTCTCCTGTGTGAACCAAAAGCTGGTCAGCCAGAGGGAGGAAGGAGAGCTTGGCGATTCACTGCCCTCTGTCACCTGAGAGACCCCAAATAAGAGAGACCAGGTAGAAGGTGGAAAACAGGGGTATTTGTGTGAACTCTAGGGACAAACCTACTGCCCCTGGAACTGGTAGGAGCTAGAACCAGGAGGGAGGCATGTGGGAGAGCTAAGAGAAGGCCAGATTCCTATAAAAATGTGGCTCTTTGTCAAAGCAGTGGGATGGGTTGGATGATTCTGATGTTTTTCTTCCCAGATACGAGGCATCTGCCAAAAATGCAGAGATGCTTTTCTGAAAACAATTGGGGGATAGAAAGAGGCAGAAAAAAGCTGAACACGTGAAAAATCAAACAAAACAAAAAAATCAAACCAATTGGTAACAGAGGTACTCAAGTACTAGGAAACGGGACTAACATGTTAACCATGGTGGTAAAGTACAGTTGATCTTCATTATTCATAGATTCTGTATTTGTGAATTCTCCCACTCACTAAAATTTGTTTGTAATCCCCAAATCACTACTGACAGTGCTTTCAAGGTCATTCATGGACATGCGCAGAAAAGCAAAAAATTTGAGTCGTCCAATGCACCTGTTCCCAGCTGAGGTTGAACAAATGCTCCGCCTTCTCATTTCAGCTCTCATACCATAAAATGTCTTTTTTGCGGTCTATTTAGTTCTATGTTTTTTGCATCCTTTTTCTTTTGGTTGGTGATTTCACTATATAGAACAACCCCAAATGTAGACCTGAAGGTGCTGACTAGTGTTCCTAAGCACAAGAAGCCTGCAGTGTGCCTTACAGAGAAAATACGTGTGTTAGATAAACCTCATCGAGGTAGGAGCTGGCCATGAGCTTGATGTCAATGAATCAACACTATATATTAAATAAGGTGTCTTTAGACAGAAACACACACTAAAAAGTTATGTATCAATCAGTAAACAAAAACATTGTGACCAGAGGCTCACAGGAACCTAACCGTTTATTTCCTCTGGGAGTGATAGTTCAGTACTTGTTATTCAGTGTTCACAGACTGCATAGAATAAAACTACTGCAAATAATCAGAATCGACATATGTGCTACGTATTTTTCATACTTTATCTCATTTTAATGCCTACAAAGTGTTCTCTTTGTTTTGCAGATAAGAAAATTGAGGTTATACATATTCAATTATGTGACTTAGAGCTAACATGTGGAAGTGGCAGGATTTGAATCCATTTCTATCTAATTCCCCAAAGGGGAAGGGAACTCTCTAACCCTTGAACTGGGGTGCTAGTTCTTGGGACTCGGGGGCCAGGCCCATATCAGGGCTGGTGGGAGGGCACAAGGAGAGTTGAGCTTAGTCAAGAACTAGATATATCTGAGAAAGGAGGGTAACAGAACTGAACACAATCCTCCAGATGTGGTCTGGTCAGACTATAGCTAAGACAGTGGGGAAAAGTTGATCCACAGTCAGCACAGAAGAGAGGCGCCAGGATGGTGAAGAGTCTGGGAGCCAACCACACCAAGAGAGGAACAATGGAAGGAATAGGAACTGCTCAGCCTAGAAATGAGAGCATGGAGGCAAACAGGAAGGATCTTTAAAGATCGAAAGCGCTATCCTGGGAATGAAGAACCAGGGGGAAAGCAGAATTAGGATTGCGGGTTGAAAGTTACAGGGAGCAGATTTTGACTCAATGTAAGGAATATTTCCTGATATTCAGAGCTCTCCAACAAGCCTATATTGGGGACTGGTGGTCCAAAGGCCAAATCCAGCTGCAGACACATTTTGTTGGCTCACAGTGTCTTCTTAAAAATTGTATTAGATGCCCTTCTGTGGGGCATGTCTCCAGTTTTCCTGCACCACTTCCTGTGCTTTTTGCCCCATGTCACTCATGTGTAACTTGCCTTGGCCTTCAGGTATAGGGTTGATGGATTTAGCAAATAAAAATACAGGATGTACAGTTAAATTTGAATTTCAGACAAATGACAATACATGGGACATACTTATACTGTATTTATATTTGTCCCAATACTTGGGATTTGCTGATACTGTCTTGTATTTAATCTGGCAACCCTATCCTAGAAGCTTTAAATAGGAGCTCCTGATGTTGCATTTTGAGGAAGTGGGCTCTATATTTGGGAAATATTCGAAGACTTGTCTCATAGGAATGCTTGGGATGGAACAGGGCTAAAATGGTCTAAGTAAGCCCTTGCCCTAATTTCTTGAGAGTCCCCATTCCAGAGTGACAAAGCAATAAAAGGTAAAGAAAGTTAGTAACTCTGAATAACAAGCCAGGTGCTATTCTAGATGCGCTTGACAGATGGGATGCCAGCTTCTTGCTCTAACAGCAGAATGTTCTACCAGAACTGGAATTGATTGATAGATAAGGGCATGAAGTATTTTTGACCTCTAATATCAATCGCTAGTAAAATTCCTTTTAAGTGCAAGTTGATTGATGTGTCTATAGCTGGGGATAATGGTGGCAACCTTGTTCTGGATCAGGGCACGAACCAAGAGGCATATAACATGCCCAAACAATAATTCTGTTTGATCTGTCAAAGGCCATCTTCTACTTCTCTGAGACTGCCATTAGTCATTCTGACATTTGTTTTCCTCTCCTGCTGCCAGAACTGCTTTTCTGGGTGTCTTGAACAGATTGTGACCAACTCACCAAAGACTGGAACATGGCAGCAGTTGATACGTGAGAAGAGACTGGCACTGACTCTCACTGTGACCATGGCCTCAGTTTCCTCGGTGGAAAAGGAAGGGCAGGATCTGTCAGGTCACTTTCAGAAATTGTGCCTCTAAAAATGAGCGTCAGTAGTCTGGACATCAGCTAGTCTTTCAGTGTCCTCCTTCTGGCTTTCAAAGAATTGGAATGTTTCTGTTCAACGGGACTTGAGTGAGCATTTGGAGATAAGGAAAGTTAGCTTCCTGGCAGGGCGACAAGGTCCAGAGCTCTTTGCAGCTCAGCAAATGGTCTCCCTCGTGTCTCCCTCGCTTACTTTCATTCAAGTTTCTCAAAATCTCTCACTCAAGACACAACACAAAAAAAGGCAGAGGAAGTTAACAAAATGAATAAAAATATTTGGGGGACAGTATGCACTACACACTAGAGAGTAGAGCATACACAAAGGGAACATCCTTAGCAATTCTAATTTGTCCTTTTCAGGAAAGCTCCCGGGAGGTATGGGCTTTGCCACCTCTTTTAAAGATGGTGCATTCAGGGGCTGGCCCCGTGGCTCAGTGGTTAAGTTTGCGCACTCCGCTGTGGCGGCCCAGGGTTTCACTGGTTCGGATCCTGGGCGTGGACATGGCACCGCTAGTCAGGCCACGGTGAGGCGGCATCCCATATGCCACAACTAGAAGGACCTGAAACTAAGATATACAACTATGTACCGGGGGGATTCGGGGAGATAAAGCAAAAAAAAAAAAAAAAAGGTGTATTCAGTAGGGCCCCAGGTTCACTCAGATGCTCACTAAATGTTCCTGGTGAGGCTGCGTTTCCCTCATCATTCTCCTCTTCATCAAGATGAGAAAGATAAAACCTCAGGCGTTACCCAAAGTAAGTGAGCATCAAAACTCCATTTCAATTATTGTAAAGTACGGACAAATTCTTTTTACAGATAAACTGAACTTAAGGGTTGAGAAGTAACTGACACAGGAGTCTGGATCTTCAACAAGGAGTAGGTGACTCCTGGCTCTACTATTACAGTCATAGCCCTGTTTTCCCTGGCTGTTCTTGATAGGTATTCTGTGTCCTCAATCAGACCTTCAGGGGGACCCTGTCTTTTCCACCTTTTTAATTTCTCAGGATCTCGTAATTACATTATGCACACACATTCTCAGCCAATGTGTGTTGAATGAATGAGTTGGAAATAAAGAGAAAAGAACAAGGGCTTTGGAAACATAAATAACCTGGGCAAAATCCTGCTTCCTCCATTCACCAGCTGGTGAACTTGGGCAAGTTTTTAATTTCTCTAAGCCACAGTTTCCTTATTTGCAAAATACAGATAAACCACCTCTTTACATAGTTGTTGAAAAGAGAAAATGGAATAATGAAGGCATTCAATCATGGCAGCTATTTTTATTGTACTTGTTGAATTAATACAGAACTTAAGTAACAAGAACCACTACACAGCACTGTGATTTTCTAACCTTTTAATGCAGTCCCATTTCGTTTGGCACAAAGATACAGACAGGTAAACTGAAGGATGAGCTGCTTTGTGTAACTGCCCACTATGGTGGGCGCTCCTCTGCTGGTCCCTAAGCGTTTAAGGAGAGGCGTTACAGTCAACAGCGGAATGCATGCCAATTGTTTTATTTATGATGCCTATTTAGATGACAAGGCCAGCCAGCATTTGGCCCCATCCATGTCATTACTCCACAATGCGGCGGAAAGACTGGACAGCTGGGGAAGCTGCACCCCAATCGATGGGCTTCTGGTACTCCTTTTTGTCCAGGAGGTACTGCCTGCCACGGTAGTTGGGTAGCTCGTAGAAAATCCAGGCACCCTCCAGCACCTTGCAGGAGTGGACCTCTCGCATGTGAAATTGCTCCATGATGGAAGGGCAATCTTCAGAGGTTTCATACATCTGACCATTAAAATCCCCTTTCTCAAAGATCTGAATCTTATACTGGCCTCCACTAGACTGCAAAACACAGGAGGAAATGAACAGCAACCATTATGGAAATAACCAGCAGGTCAAGGACTCAGAGAACAGCATGGGTCAGAACCCACCATCTCGAGTGCTAGAGGATCTGAACTTCTGTCCTCACTCTGCACTGACTGAAACAGCTGACTTTCAATAAGAAAAACTTAATTTTTTAAAATACTCAAGAGGTAGAGGAGGTGCCATGGAAATGACTAGTATGTTCAGTCTGTGATGAACTGACCTTAGATTTTATTTAAGCCTTAGCAGCCAACAAAAGACAACCACCCCTTAAGGAGAGGGAGCGAGAGAGAGAGAGAGAGAGAGAGAGAGAGAGAGAGAGAGAGAGAGAGAGAGTGTGCAAGCACATGCGAGCAAGCCTACCCTCCAGACTCACCAGGCGAACAGCCCTGCAGGAGCTGAGGCGGTCGTTGAGGCCCATCCAATGCTGGTGTTCAGGGTACTCACCCCGAGGTAAGATGTACATGTACCCAGCAAAGTTGGGCCTTTCATACACAGCCCAGGTGCCTCCTTCTACTCTAATGGAGTTGCAGCGACTCAGGTACACGTGGAAATCTGCACAGTCGCAATCAGAGTCATACTGGCGGCCTTGAAAATTTTTGTCTTCATAGAAAGTAATCTGAAGTACAGGGCAAATAAAGAGAAGAACGGAGGAGTTGGGTGGCTTTATTCATAGGAAAATAAAAATTAAGAACACATTTCCTACTTTACACTCCTTTCTGCTCAATTTTGAGGAGGAAAGGTCTAGTTCTACCTAACTTCACAACATTTACCTTCTGGCAGACAAATGTGGTTGTCAACAATAGTACTTTCTGAAGGCTTAAAATAAAGCAAAACGAAAGAGTGCTCTAACATAAACCAGCAGTTTCAGACTCCAGTTCATTGCTTTCTCTTTTTGCTCCCACAGCTCACTGTACTTACCACATTACATCATAAATTATCCACTTATATAGCTGTCTCTCCCATCAGCCTCCTGCTAGACTTCTTCCATGGGCAAGGGTCAAGCCTTATTTAAGCTATGGACCCATTCCCAGCACTTGACAAACCCTCAGTAAATGTTTGATGAAGATGAGTGAGTTCCAAATGCAGAAACTCGTTCTAGGTGATATGGAAGATATACAGAAAAAAATAAAACATAGACCTTAGCTTAGACAGCTTATTTTAGATGGATATAGAACACACACACTTGAAAATATATCATATTATTTTCTGTATTATTATTTTGCTGCCAACAGAGCAGTTGCAAAGTAACAAAATGACAAGGCAAGAATGTCCTTTGTTTCAAACTCTTACCAAGTTTCTACCACAATCTTTGGGGTAAACCTCTGAGACCTCTGACGGCACTGGAAAATATGCAACCCCGAGAAACAGGAAATAATAAACCTGGGCCCTAGAGCTACAGCTCTACAATCAGGCAGCTCCATCACTTAGCGAAGCCATATCTCTGGGCTCCGGCTTCTCATTTGTCAAACAAAAGGACTAGACTAGATTGGAAGCCTTGGTTGCAAAATAAAACTTTTTTGTTTGAAACAAGAGACGGAATTCCCAAGAACTCCTAGGGCTTCATGAAGCAGTGTCTGAAAACCACTAGACCAAATGGACTACAGAGTTTGCCCTTTTTTGTTCTATAATTCCACAACTGAGGTCAACACTAGGCTATTAGTTAAACTGAAATCACAGGTGTAATTGAGTCCAGCAGTTAATTCCCTGGCGTTATGCTGCCACCTCGTGGCTAACTTACTTTATCGGTTTAAAAGGACAAAACCATGTCAGCCATTTCAGATGAAAGGAGCAGGCTGAGTCGCGAGAGGATCTTTGAGGTGAGCATTGAAGGATAGGTGGAGGTTTTTCAGAGGCAAAGGAAAAAGAATAGCCTGTTCAAAGGAAAGGAGTGAAAGGACATGCCCTTAATAGGGACAAATAGTTCATTAAGCCTCGTGCATACTGAGTATGTGGTGAAGTATTAGGACATACAGCCAGACAAGTGACACAGAGCCATGCTAGAATCCCTCTGGTGATTGTGTTGGAAATGTAGTGTAGAGGTTTGTGCCTGTGCCTGGAAATGGATGGTTGCTATGGGCGAGGTGAGAGATGATGAGGGCCAACCAAAGGGCACTGCAATGTAATGACAATGAGGAAGCAGAAGAAATGTAAGATTCGGTGACTAATTAGATGTAGGGAATGAAGGAGAGGAAGAAACAAAGAATGGCTCGCAAACGGGCCTAAAACCTCATTCTTTTCTACCCCAGGTGAGTCTTTCTAGATAATAACACTAATAGTTATTTCCTTCCACCTTAATTCCCTGCCCCCCGACCCTTCCCATTCCTCTCAACTCTTCCATTCTCTTGTCCCTAAAAGCTTCCTTACCCCTTCCCAATCCTAAATCATGTACTTCATCTGTTTCTTCCCTCCTCAAATTTCTCTCTTCCATCTCACTTTCCCATTTCAGCATAGCACAGATTTAGAGGTACATGGGATCCCAGTTTACAGATGAAGAAAACAAAACCACAGCACCACTGTGTTACTAGCTATAGTTACTAGCTCTGTGACTTTGGACAGGCCACTGAACGTCTCTAAAGCTCAGGCTGTTCATCTGTAAACTGGATAACGATATGCACTGCAGAAGCTTGTTCTGAGGGTCCAGTGGGACAATGCCGATAAAGCACTTGGTTTAAAGCTGGCTCATAATTGCCAATAATGCCAATATAGTTGTTACAGATAAAGAAGTTACATGGCTTGCCTAAGGTCACTCACTAGTTACATGTTAGTTGCAAGTGAGTGGATTGCAGTGCAAAACTCCTAGTTAGTAATCTGTGGGTCATTTTATTTTACCTTATCTCCCTTTGCCGTCTTCCTCCCTGCACGGCTAGCTCTGGTCAGCACACACCATCTAGTCTCTTAGAAGTGGAACAAGACTGACCCTGAGTCTGTGAGGCTTTTCTCAAAACCTGTGGGAAGACCTTCAGGAAAATCAAGGTAACTTCTCTAAGAACAAATAGATTCTAAACTCCTTCATTCAATTTACCTTTGGTTTTTGGTCAACTATTCACCAAAAGAGGCTTTGCAAGGGGTATGTTACAGGAAATTAAGTTAATATCATCTTCTTTACTTCATTGTTTCTCACTCACTGCCTCTGCACATGCACCTGACTGACGTCAGTATCTGAGAAGTGGAAGGATCCACGATGTTCTATAAGGCCCCCTTGCTGTTCATCCTTCCAGCAGAGCAGCCGACCATCCCAAGGTTGAAACAAAGCACACGGAACCATTACTGAGCACCAGGACCAGGCTCTCCTTCCAGTGGGAGACCTTCCAAATCTCAGGGCCCAGAGAATGTTGCACCTCCACTCAATTTCCGTTTGTAGAAGGACCATGAAATTCATTCCGTGGTGAGCCCAGAGAAGGTGTGGACTCTTGGACAAAAAATTTTGTAGAAAAGGCTAAGAAATGTGCAGGAGATTTTCCTAGAAATTATTACAAAATTCCTCTCAAGTTTTTTGAAAAATACCTTACTAATCCAACACAGCAGAAAGAACCATGTCTTGAGCATCCCAAAGGTAACAAAAACAAACTTAGTAAAACGTATTGCTTTTGCCAAGCTGATAACTCTTCTGATTAAATTGCTAGCAAAGGGAGAAGCAGTAAGAGAAACAGTAAGAGATAATTTACTATCTCCTTTAGCCTAGCAAGCAAAAGTTATTTAAGTGAACAGCCCAGCTACAAGAAACAAAAGAGAGCACACTATTACTACCGAAATCTGCGAAAGCTGGGGATGTTTTCATAGATGGTTCTGGAACAGTTTTCCCTCGAGCATACGGATATCCCTCTATGGACTTCAAATTCTTTTTAGTGGGATTTGCATGGCATATTTTCAAGAACCTCAGAGCACTAAAGACACTGTCTCATCTTTCTCTCTAAACTTTCTAGATGACAAGCATGATTATTAGTTCTATTTTCTAAATGGAAAAAAAATTAGGCACTAACCAGCTACGGAACAAGTTAACAGGCGCCTCCTGACATGACGCAATGGGAAGTACCTGACACTGCCTGTGTAACTTTCTTGCCAAAGATTAGTCTGAGTCTACACAAGAGGAAAAAATCAGACAAATCCAGATTTTGGGACTTCCTAAGACACCTGATCCAGACTTTGAAAAATGTTCCATGTCTCAAACAACAATAGAAAGGTAGGAGGACTACTCTATATAAAAGAGACTAAAGGAAAAAAACGAGGCTAGAGAAACGACAGTGAAATACCATGCATGACCCTTTATTGGGTCCTAGATCAGGGGAAAAGCCAGTCATGTGGTACATTTTTGGCAGGAATTGGAAATTTAAATATAGTCTGAATATTAGGTATTATGTTTACGATAAATTTAGGGGACATGACAATGATATTACGTTTATATGGGGAATGCCCTTGTTTTTAGGAGATACATGTCTAAATACTTACAGCAAAAGTATTGTCTGATATTTATTTTCAAATGGTTTAGTAAAAAGAGAGAGACAGAGAGAGACCAAATAGGGCAAAATGACAACAGTCGAAGAACAGAAGTGAAGGATATACAAGTATTTGTTCAACATCTCTTGTTTATTAAGATTCAATAGGTTTGAAAAATTTCAAAGTTAAAAGTAAGGGGGGAGATCAGGCTTTGCCTTAGACACTCTGCTCAGTGGAAGAGCTAACAGAGAATGAAGGTAGCTGCCCTCTTCCCAAAGCCTGCCTGAGAGATCAAGTTCCAGTCCAACAATTGTGAATCAAGTATTTTAGAGGCAATTTTCCTAACTTAAGCACTTTATTTGGGGAAAGGGATACAGGTAACTGCTTGACTACAGGGGATATGTGGCGTTTAATTCACGTGATTGGTCCATCCACCTTGGCCTTTTAGAACAGTAATGGTTGAGGCTAAATTTCACAAAACATATTGAATACTAAAAGTTTTCTACTCCACAGAGTCCTCTTATCAGCACGTACTATGTCTATGGAAATGCATAGAATATTAGTTGCTGGAAGGCAGAAATCATGATGATTTATACATTATATACCTGTATATTATTCAACATAACACCACCCATAAAGATAAACCCTTAATAAACTGGTAATTCAGTTAGAGTAGAAAATATAATAAGCATTTCTTAATCTTTTCTCCCAATTCCAGCCTTCTAACCACTGTCATACTCACCTCTAGGCAAAGAAGCAAAAGCTTTTCTCCATGTTTCCTTCAGTGTATTATTAAGTGAAAAGAAGATGGGTAGGCCAAAAATCAGCATGACCGTTTTCTTACCTTGGTTCCAGTTTTAGACATTTTTGGAGTATAGATTGGTTTCCCCAGTACTGAAATCCAGGAATAGCCAGAGAGAGTTAGAGGCACAGAGACATTTATACTGGGCTGGTTTCAAATCAAACATTTGCTTAGTCATGAGAATAGGATCCAAAAATTGAGTCAGTCATTTAGAGGCTATTGATGGTTTCTAGAAAAACAAATGGGATTATGAAATAAAGCAAAGCTTCACTACCCCCTTTAATGCTTACCAAGCCTTGCTGCATTATAGACTTTGCTGAGTCAAGACAACAAAACCCAGACAAAGTTTTCAAGATTAAAAAAGTCCCTCTGCTCTGGGCAATTTGGTTTTCTAGCAAGCAGCCACCTTGAAATCCCCCACGTCCTTTTTTTCTTCGACAAAGCTTGCAGGAGATGAGTCAAAAGACCACCCACTAATTCTCAACAAAAGTGACACGTTCTAAAGCAACAAAATTTATGTGACAACTAAAGGCAATGCATGATCTTGTGTTTGGGAAAAAAGTCATTATAAAGGACATTTTTGGGGTGATTAGCAAAAATTTTAATAAGGACTGTGTATTAGATAATAGTATGTACTATTGTTAAACTTCCTGAATTTAATCATTTGCATTATGGCTACATAAGAGAATGTCTGTTTTTAGGAAATACATGCTAATGTATGTAGGACTAAGGTCCAAGATGTCTGTAACCTACTCTCTTAAACTGTTGAGCAAAAATAAAATAATAATACTATATAGAGAGTGGTAAAGTGAATGTAGCAAAATGTTAACAATTGATGAATCTAGACAAAAGGTATGTGGGAATTCAGATTCCTGCAATTGTTCTTTAAGTTTGAAATGTTTTCAAAACACACATACACACACACACACATAAATTCTAATCCACAAGAAAGGGTGCTACAGTATGTAGACTGAAAGACAGAAAGCTACTGCAGAATCCTGAATTTGCAAAGATTTAGCTAAGCCTGACTTGCCACCTGCTAGGTGGCATTTCTCTGCCATGATATCATATTGGGACCTGTTTAGAGAACATTTTCTGGCACTTAATACAACTCTGACTTTAGGAATGAGATTATGTCTTACGGAAACTCAAAGAAACAACAAAGTGACTCTTCTCTATTTTAATTTTCCTAGTCCAGTATATTCTTCTCAAAAGTCTGACTTCCTTTTCTTCCCACTAACAAAGCTATCCAACAAATACTTTTATAAATGGGATGCCCCTGAGATATATTATGGTCAATTCATAAAATGGCAAATATGCCTGGACATGAAGATTATTGATAAATAAAGTATTAAGTTATATGCTTAGTTTTATGAATTTTATAAACATTAAAGAAAATTTCTAATACCACTAATTTCATTAACCAAGAGCAATTTCCAAAACATACTTCTGTTACTCCAGTGTTTATCTGGTAATGCTTTGCTTGCTTGAATTTCATCTTAATATAAAAACTATGAAAACCTCAATTAGAATTAACACATACTCTGAGGGTTAACTTTCACTTTGGAAATAAAAATCAAGCTCTTTTTTGATATAATTACTAACTAAATGGCCAGTGAGCATATGAAACAATGTTTATCAGCAATCAGCTTCATTTTATTAAATTGATCATTGTTTTCCTTTATCTTAAAGAACACAGCTTTCCCAATCAAATGTAAACTTTATTTTTGATATAACAGCACACAATGACATTGGAAACCTTTTCTAGACTTAAAAGTAAAGCTTTGTCTTTTCATTAAAAGGAGAAAATTACTTTTTAGAGTTTATTTATTGAAAATTTAAAGCAGAAAATGAAAAATAAAGATTCTAAACAATTTCATTGTTTCATACTTTAAGGACTAAAATATCTTTGTATAAAACTATTTCTGCAATTTATACACCAACAAATCATACTTTCATCCCAATTATTTTTTTAAAGGAGTAACAACTTCCTTTTAAATAGTTAAAAACAACTATAAAACTCTTATTTAACTCTAGAAAGGATGAAACCCTTTCATCATAGAAATTAAAATGTGAAGTTTACCTGTAAATCTATACTCAATAACTTTAATATTAACATACATACAATGGGACTGCCTTCATCCAGGTTTTCATTTTGGCATCACAAAGATGAGCCTTCTGATGCTCTATAAATAATATGTTTATAGGACAGTCAGAAGTTTAGCTGAAATTCAATGTAAACAGTAGTAAATAAGTATGGAATGGAAATTAAGGAAAGGTCTTAAATAAAAGAAAAAGCCCCAAAGTCTCTTAAGCAGCAAGAGCACCTTCTCAATTTAGTTTCAAGATGTGTACCATCTTCCATTCGTCCTCATGTTTCTAGAGCCCTAAAGGTAACAAAAGAAAAACATTAACAATTTTCTATTGCTTTCATGCAAATAATAAGAAAAAACCATGCATTTATTAAATCAAGGTCAGATGATAGTTTAGAGTAACAAAACACAAAGTTTAAAGTTAATTATATTCCTTTTTTCTGAGGGTCACATTAGTTCACAATAGAAGAAAAGAAATTCATACATAGATAAAAAAATGTAGCAGGCTATGTGTGGGGATTAGTCTAAACTAAAATTTTATCCTCTTATAGTTCCCATTTCCTTTACATAATCTTTGATAGACTTCCAATTCTTAACCTCAGCATTTATTAACTAAATATTATAAAATTATTGTTTTATAAAAACAATACACTTTAAAATACACACTTTAAAAATGTAAACAATACATAAAGTAAACAATAAAGAATAAATTTTTGCAGCTTTGGAAAACAGTTCAGCAGTTCCTCAAAAAGTTAAATATGTGACCTTGCAATTCTACTCCTAGGTATACACCTAAAAGAAATGAAAACATGTCTACACAGAGACTTGTACACAAAAGTACACAGCAGCATTATTCACAACAGCTTAAAAGTGGAAATAACTCAAATGTCCATCCACTGATGAACAGGTAAACAAAGTGTGGTAGATCCATACAATGGAACACTAGCAGCCATCAAAAGGTATGACCTACTGACACTTGATACAACACGAATGAACCTTGAAAACACGCTAAGTGAAAGAGGCCAGACACAAAGGCCACATGTTGTATGATTCCATTTCCATGAAATGTGCAGTGTTGACAAATCAAGAGACCAAAAGTAGAGGAGTGGTTGCCTGGGTCTTGGGGGAAGAGGAGACACTGGAGGTTGGGGAGTGACTGTCAATGTGTATGGGGTTTGTTTTTAGGGTGACAAAAATGTTCTGGATTTGTTAACAGTGATGGTTGCATAAACTTGTGAATACAATAAGAGCCACTGAAATCCTCACTTTAAAAAGGTGAATTCTATGGTATGTGACTTACATCTCAATAAAAATTAAGAACAAGTTTTCTCCCACCCTAGACAACCAGTCTCATGCCTCAAAGACACTATTAATAATTTCTTTATATCCTTTCAGAAATTTTTAAGGCACATAATTAGCATATAAATGTGTGACAATCCCTCTTTTCTCAAACATACAAGGCAACATTTTATTCCCCCCCCCTTTGGCCTTCACTCTCCAACCCCCCAGCTTAGCGATCTTTCAGTAGCAGCACATACAGACACACCTTGTTCCTTTCACACATGCATTCCAGGACATGGATGAGGCAGTTCATAAGGCACCAGCCCTCTACTGAGAAGCATCTGGGTTGTTTCCAGTCTATAGCTATTTCAAATAATCCTGCAATGAACATCTTTTTTTTTTTTTTTTTTTGCTGGGAAAGATTCACTCTGAACTAACATCTGCTGCCAATCTTCCTCTCCTTTTTTTTCCCCCACAAAGACCCAGTGCACAGTTGTATATTCTTGCTGTAAGTCTTTCTAGTTCTTCCATGTGAGCCACAGCCACAGCATGGCTACTGAGAGACGAGTGGCGTCGTTCGATGCCCAGGAACTGAACCCAGGCCGCCGAAGCAGAGTGTGCCAAACTTTAACCACTAGACCATCAGGGCTGGCTCTGAACTCCCTTTTTAAACAGATCTTTACATACTTGCATGCAACTGTAAGATAAATCCTAAGAAGTGAAGTTGCTAAGTCAAAGAATCTGTGCATTTTAAATTTTGATTTTGTCAAACTATCCTCCAAAGAGGTTGCACAAATTTGCACTTTCTCCAGTAGGAGGTAAAATGTCTTCCCAGTGCTGTATACTACCAGTTTTTCATTACTGCCAATCTGATAGATGAAAAATAGTAACTTACATTTCTTTAATTTGAGTGAAAGTGAACATTCTTGTGTTTCTAAGTAGTTTTATATAAACTACTTATTTATGTCCTTTGTCTGTTTTTCTATTGTTAGTCTTTAAAAATACTTTAAAATAGCTCGATAAACTAATTTCTACAAAAGAAGAATACTACATATTTAGATTAAACAACTTCCAGAAAATTTGCCTGTGTCCATATTCTCTTCTACTGAGTCTGTGATCTTCCAGAGTTCCGTATTCAAATCTTCATTTGTACTTTTTTTTTTTTGAGGAAGATTAGCCCTGAGCTAACTACTGCTAGTCCTCCTCTTTTTGCTGAGGAAGCCTGGCCCTGAGCTAACATCCGTGCCCATCTTCCTCTACTTTATACGTGGGACGCCTACCACAGCATGGCTTGTCAAGTGGTGCCATGTCTACACCCAGGATCTGAACCAGCAAACCCAGGGCCGGCGAAAAGCGAAATGTGCGAAATTAACCGCTGCGCCACTGGGCCAGCCCCTCAAATCTTCATTTGGATTAATTCTGGTAATTTATTAATGCTCATATGTGCAATTAACAAAAATCACCTAATTTAATAATTGGTTTGTGTGTGGGGTGATGGGAAAGAGGAAAGATGTGTTAGAAAGGGGGAATAGAACTTAAAGCTATGTATGGGGAAAGTAGTATCTTCGGACAGTACAACTTTTGCCTGGCAAGAAGTGAAAAAGACAAAACCTGGCTGTTATATTTACCCATAATTCTATAGGTACCACCTGAATATTCTGGTCTTCTCACTATAAAATGCCAAAATATGGGTATGTAAAGGTCTATAAATGCCACCACTAGTGGGATTAATGGAAAAAAATTGGCAATGGTTGGTAACATGATATTCTGTGCAGTTTTTTTGTAAGCTTATAAGATTTCCCCAAAATAATCTGTTTTAGGTGGCCTACATTATAAATGCCTACCAGTGTGTGATCCAGGAGCCTTACTCATCCTGCTGCTTGTTTGGAGCCTGCTGCAGGAGGCACGAGGCTGTCCAGCTGTTGGCGATGTCCTGTATGAATCAGCCACTCATAAAACTTGTTCTCCACAAGTACCTGGAACTGCTTTCTTTGATCCCTAAAATTGTAATTGAGATCAAAAAGAATGCAGCAGCATTAACTCATATGAATGTTACTCGAAGTGATTATAAAACACTTTAATGGGATAAACATTAAATTAGTTCTAGTTAACCATTTGTTCTCTCCAAACAGTTGTTCAGTTCTATACATTGGATCACCACCACCAAAAGAAAAAAAAAGATTGCTTAGATACAATGCCTTCTTTGTAAAGACTTACCAGTAATTACATATTTTGTTCTACTGTGGTTATTCGCTCATCAGATATTTACTGAGGACCAAGTGACACTGGGTAGTGTTCTGACAATGGGGATAAACGTGTAAAGAAAAGAGAAAGCTCTGTCTGGGCAGCTGTGCGCTGTGTGACTCCAGAGGGCACCATTCACACTGTGATCTATGTAGTCTATGCTCCTTGTGGACTGCATATTGTAGGAAGGAAGACAGGCAATAACTAAAATAAATATATATAAACTTGAGCAGTTATAAGTGCTCTGGAGAAAAAATACAGCAGGGTAAGGGAATGCAGAGTATTGGCAATGCTATTTTACAAAAAGCATGGACTAAGAAAGCCTAAGATGACACTTAAGCAGAGGTCTGAATGAAGTGATGGACTAAGCAAAATAAATATCTGAAGAACATTCCAGGCAGAGGAAACAAAAAGTGCAAAGGCTCTAAAGTGAGAGCATATTTAACATGTTCAAAATAAGAAAGAATAGGAGCTCCTGACAGCCAGGAGCTAGCTCAGCACTCTCAGCTAGGCCTTGGTGTAGCTGGATCTGGCCTGGCCGCAGTGTTCTCCTGGTGAACACAAAGAACATAATTCCACAGAACACTAACATCAGATAAGGCCACCAAGGGATGCTGACAGATCGAGGCAAGAACAAGACCACCCCATAATCATACCTCAGTCCAGACAAAAAACAAACATTTTGTGGTCCAAACCACAAAAATGACCAAACATCACCCCTTCCTGGCTAATGAGTGACTGCTGCATCTTTAAAATTATAGTTTTAGCCCCACTTTATTCCTCTTACCTTTGATATAAAAATTATTAAGATTCCAAATCATAGAATTACCCTTGCTTCCAAATAGCATTCAATCCACAACAAAGCCTTGCTTCCTAGAACCCTCTCCAAAATTACCTACCATAAGCCAAAATCCAATTATAAGTTCTTTTCAACACGCTTTTACTGAGATGAAACAAGTTCTTTTCTTCCTTGCAATGAGTAATAAAATCCAGCTTTATTCTACAGATACATTCCTGGTGGTCTTTGGCCAGAGAGCAATAACTAAGTAAAAGCATTATAATGATTTATTATATTATATATTATATATGACAACAGTTCACAAAAAACACTAACTACACTAAGAACTCAGGTTCTGCAACCAGGCTGAATAGGTGTGAGTCCTGGCTCCTGGATGACTTTTAAATCTTTCTGTTCCTGTTTCCTCCTCTGTGATAGGGTATTGGTATGAAGAATAAATGAGTTAATACATAGAAGGCGACTAGAATAGTACTTGGCGCATAGGAAGTGCCCGATACATATTACCTGTTACTACAGCCATCTTCATTATTCTACAGAACTGAGAATGACTGGTGTGTAGTATTAATATCTTGGTGGCTCAATCCATGAGATACAAACCAGGTGGAATGTTTGTAACAGATAACAGCAGTATTATCATAATGGATTCCCAGGTAAAGCATGAGTTTTCACTGTTACTCATCTTTATATTTTTCGGCAAGTAGCAACTGCCTTAAAGAGTCTAAAAGCAACTGTGTAACTATATATTATATATTTCATCCCTTAATCTATATGATGAGAACAAAGCCATGAGAAAGTATCCAAAAAATACCATGGCTGGACTAAGTCTTTTTTCAATTACTATTTCTCTTACGAAGTTCTATTCTAACAGGTCAGGTCTCAGACATTCTGGGTGAACAATCCCACCAAGAAGATGTGTCTCACAAACACATCACTAAACAGAGTGTCTTACACTCATACTACTACACACAGTGCAGCACGCACCACCGCGCAGAGTCATACACACACATTACTACTATATCCTATCTGCTTAAACCTTCACATGGATCTCATCAGGTGGAAAATAAACATATACTTTATATATGATACAATTAAGAACCAAAGAGGTTAAATGACATACTCAGTGTAACACAGTAAGTGGCATAGTCAGTACTAATTCCTGAGTCTGAATACTTTCAAGAACAACACATTTTAAAAATCTAACAAAACTAAGAGAGCTAATTAAAATAAGCATTTTTGCTCACACATTAAATAGCAGTTCTGGATCATCAGAAATAATAACATTTTGGAATGACTGCTTTCAAGACAATGACAACCAGAAAAAAACAACTAATACCAGGCAAATGGAATCCAATTATTAAAGTAAGAGGTCTTCTAAGTCTTAAGGAAAAGGGTCATAATGATCAAGATATCATCAGGACATACAACATTTCATGTAAAGATCTCCAAAAAGGAAATGGATACCCTTTTCTCAAACTAGCTCCAGCTTTGAAATGGACAATGTTGAGGAAGAAGCAACCCTCCATCTTTTGGTATTATGTTTCCTACTTTCCTCTCTTAAAATCTCTAACAAACAAAACTGATTAAATACCAAAATACTTGTACAAACAATAATTACTTATTCTGAGCATCCACTAATTTTAAGTTGTATGTGCTCCTCTGTCCTGAAGAAAACCGAAGAAAACAAAAGTTTCTAAGCTGGGCTCCAATTTTTGGAGTCATCTTTGATTTTCGTCTTTTTCACAAAATCTTGCACCAAGTCCTGCCTCCTGTCAAAATATTTCTGGTTTCCACCCCCTTTCTCTCCACTCTAGTCCAGTTTCTTAGTCTGGACTATTGCAACATCACCTTGACTTCTCTCTTTCAAATCTCCCTTAACCAGGGTCTTCAAATGTGCCAATCACATTTTTTAATCTGCCATAGCATCTAATAAAGTGGTTTGCATATTATAGGCATTCTATAAATATTCCTGAATAGATGAAATGGATTTATGAGTTTCAGCCCATTGTTCAAAAGTCCTTGATGGCTCCTATTGCTTAATTCAATTTAAACCTAACTTTCACTGCTGACATTCAAGATTCTACATAATCTGGCTCAATCTACCCATCCAACTTTAAATACCACTATTCTATACCCAGAATCTTATTTCAGCAATTAATTTCCAGAATACCTAAGGCCTGCTTCTGCTTCCACATCTGCTCCTCTATTGCTATGAAAAGCATTCTGCCCAGTCCTCACTTCCTATCCAAACTCTGCTCCTTCTTCAAGGTCCAACAAAAATCCTACTTCCTCCAGAAATCTTCCCTGACTACCCACACTGATGTTTTCCGAATCTCCATAAACCATCCTGGCTTCCAGAGTTCAAAGACTAATACATTTGAAGTAAAATTTTGTGGTGGACATAATAAACCACAACCATCTACTATCACAAGCATGTTATTAAAACTAAGATATTTCAGTACCCCAAAAGGAGGAAGGAAATAATTTCAGACTAAAAGACAACATTTTAAATTGACTAAATTTAGCTTTACTTAAAAACACTGTACTTATTTTTCACATTTTACCATGGATTAGGGAAAACTTTGACAAAAACTGGCATTAGTCCATGGACCAGCATTAGGGATCCACCCTTGGAGAGTCTGTAGTGTAGTGAAGCCAGGAAATCTGTATTTTTAAAAAGTTCCTTGGATGATTCTAATATACAACCAAGTTTGAGAACTGTCAGTATACTGTAGAGAAATAAATTAAAAACTAAAACCAATCCATTTAAGTACTGGATTATGTGGCATATTTTCATTCATATGAGTCTTATATCTGCCAAGGAAACTTAAGCTTCTTAACAGAAGGGAGTCTAACACTTGAGTATACACTTGCTCCTATCCCCGAAGCAAACAGTGCTTGGAACACTGACCTGAAATTCAAGCCTTAATAAAAGACACACTATATCTTTTTCATTACTTTAGCACAGCTGTAAACATGAGCAGGTTAATTTGCTTTCCCATAGAATTTTATATAAGACTAATTATTACTTCTAGAAAACACTCACTTTGTCAAACGAGCCTCCTTCACAATTTTCTGCCAGATCTGTATCTTCTGCTCTCTTTGACCCAGTGCTTTCTGATATGCAGATGGAAGACCCCCAGGTATCTCTGTTGTGTCCCCTTCCATTTCAAAGGGAATAATAAATATGTAGAATTCACAAGGTGGTAAGAGTCGGAAGACACTAGTGTCACTGTTCTCTCTGCACACAACCATTGGTTTATCCCAATAGTTAGGCACTGTAGCAAGGCCGGTCCTGGCCATATGGTCCTCCAGCATTGGGTAATGAGTATGAAAAGGGGCAAAAGTTACTGTCTGGTTCCCAGAGAGAATAAGTGGGTGTGTAGGCGTCAGAATGTGAAAGACGCAACCTGTTGTAGAAGAGATGGACAAACGATGGCAAACAGCAATGACTTTAATGTTGTCACAGCTGTGGAGGTGAAGAGCAGTCTGTACAGGGCCCAGAACAAAGGTGCTATTCCTGCACTTCTCAATTGTCACAGATCTGAAAAACGAAAAAATGAGGTAAATTCATCTGAATGAGAATAAGAAAAAAATATTTGACTACAGTATAATTCTCTGATGGCAGAAAAAGGATCAATCCTACTCCAAAGAAAATGTAAAACTATCAGAATACTACAAAGACTGTGCTTACCGTAAGGGAGAGAGCAGATATATAAAAGATTCGTTGCAACGATGAATCTTTACATGTGCCCCCACCAGAGTATCTGAGCTCTTGGCCAATGTCTGCTTGTAAACCTGGCTCATCACCACCATGCGGTGCATCCTAGGGGCCACATGAGTATTACAAGCAATCTTGGCTCTTTTGGTCGTCCCTTCAACTATTTAAGAAAAATATGAATAAATGAGATAGTTTCAAATCAAAGAAAAACAAACAACCATATGAGGTTACACAGACTACATGTCTAAAATTAGATACATGTGAGGTTTAAAAAAATGTGAGAGCTGTGTGTTGGGTAAAGAGGTATTTGCTATACTATTCTCTGCTTTTTTGTATGTTTGCAATATTTCATAATTTTTTGTTATAAAAAAATTTTAAAACTTAAAATCCACTCAAGATTGCCTATAGATCTAAGACTATTTTTCATGTCTAACCTTGAAGTTAAGTAACGTGGCTAAGGTCATATGGCTAGTAGGTGGCAGAGCTGGCCCAACTCAAGTATTTTCTCCTCCAAGATGCCTTAATTCATCATCCCAACACTTAAATAATCTTTTTATTTTTTATTTTATTTTTTCTAGGAAGATTAGCCCTGAGCTAACATCTGCCGCCAATCCTCCTTTCTGCTGAGGAAGACTGGCCCTGAGCTAACATCCATGCTCATCTTCCTCTACTTTATATGTGGGACACCTGCCACAGCATGGCTTGACAAGTGGTGTGTAGGTCCGCACCCAGGATCCGAACTGGCTAACCCAGCGCTGTGGAAGCAGAATGTGCAAACTTAACCGCTGTGCCACCAGGCTGGCCCCTTAAATAATCTCTTTAAATTGCCATAATACTAATTATGAACCCCTCCTAGGTTACTTACCACATCAGTCCATGATATTTGGTTCATGTCTTTATTTATATATGTATTTATTTATTTATGTATTTGGGTTCATGTCTTTACTCCCAAGATCATTACTAACGAGAGCACATCTTCCTCTCGTACACAAATGCCTTGCACAAACTGACACACAAAGTTATCTGTTGCCCTCCTAACACAGTCCCACTATTATGTGATTAGCTTCTCAGACTGTACTTCCTGCAAGCCACCAGGACACCCTTGTAAAAAGTACTGGCCAAATGTGGAGAGGTCACAAAAGCATGCTGTTACTCTTCTTTTAAAACAATTCTTATTGTTTCCTTTTATTAGATAAGTAATACAGGCTTATTGTAGAAAAGTCTTAAACACTAGTAGTAAATGAAGATAAAAATTCTTTGTAATCCTACTATCTACCACTGTTAACATTCTAGTATAATCCTAAGAGGTTAGATATCCTTCTTTTCCCTACTAGTGCCTACCCTAACAACATTAAAAAACTTACTTGAACCTATATTCTTTTATCAACATCAAGAATTATGTAGTATCTCCTATATACTTATGGGAGCCTTACGTATCTGAAAGTCCCTGACCTCATACTTAGAGCAATAGTTTGATTGGATACAGAGTTCTTAGATCACCATCTTTTTGCTCAATATGCTGTTGATGTTGTTCAACCATTTTCTGTTTTTTAGTATTATAAAAATTTGATGCAAAACTGGTTTTGTTTTACATTTTCACAGAACCTATTTTCTCTTTATCTTTGAAATTCAGAGATTGTGGAAGTATATTCTAGTTTCTTTCATTAATTTTGCTTGGCATTTGCCTCAGTACAGGCACCTACTTCTCTTTAAACTTATACTTGGCCTCCTCTTCTCTTAAAACTTATGCCTGAGCCCCAAGAAGTCATATAGCACCTGAACCTATCCCTTTAGCCATTGCTGGACTATCAGGAATAGATACCTGATGCAACCAAGACCAGATTCTCCCAACTGTAAATATAAATTTTCAATTTAGAAATATCTCATCTGCTTGTGTCTGTGTAGCTAAAAAGAACCTCATCTCTACACCAACTCTCTGAGGTTGTAACTGTGGAATAGCTAAATTCTGCTGTGGTGCACAGAAAATAGGAAAGCCTCAAGCAAATGAGCATATGAGAGCAAAAGGGAAAGAGTCAGAAGATACAAAAGCAGAGCAAGGAGAGCACTAACTGAAGTTAGGGTTTGTTAACTGCAACCTAAACAATTTGGACTAATAAATCAACTCTCTGAGACTGTTGCTGCCTTGACACAAAAAGATGTATACAAAATAGAGAGGTTTCTTTTTCTCTTTTATAGTAGCAATATTTTTTAGGTCTTCTGCAGAAGATGTGTAATCATTAATACACCAGAAAACACTAGGTTCCTTAACTTGCCATTCAATTGACTCTAGATTAGAATATTAAAAAATACCTTGGTGAGCCCAAGCCAATTTCTTTCCAGACTTGAGGCAAGCAGATGTACCAAATGGATTCCCAGTCAAACAGGCTCTCAACCAGGCTTCTAGCTTGTAGAAAGAAAAGGTCTTAGAGATCTTTGAGAAGCCATTTTCTGCATGCAGTGGTTGCCACAATGCAAGTTCATGAAGTGGATATATCTTCCCGGCTCTACTCGCTGTACCTTCAATAAGAAAGCTGAGCGCCACGACAGCTTCTTGGGAGACTAGACTACTATGCGTCGAATGAAATGATGCAGTGAGTTGTTCTGGATCTAAAAGCAGCTCAAGAAGATCTGACAGATGATCATAGACAAAAGCTTGGTGACTGTAATCATTCCAGTTCTAAAGAATATCAAAATAAAGCACTCTTAACAGAGCAAAGAGATTCGGCAAGACCTGAAACTTTTATATTTTAATTATTTTGTATTTATACTTTGCCTCACCCCCAAAAAAGCATTTGAGGTGGCTATATAGACCTTATAAAGATTTTTTTGTGTATGTACTAGGTATAAACAGATTCTCTCTCCACTTTAGCTAATTCAAAAGTAATGCTAATAGCTAACCCTTAGTGTGTGCCAAGCACTAAGTGTTATACAAAATTTAATATATTTAACCTTAACAACAATCTTATAATAGATGCCATTATTATGCCCATTTTAGGCAGGGACCAATCATTCAAGGCTTTGTATGAAATATTAAAACATCCGGACTTTATTTTGTGTGACAGGGACTTTCAAACTATTTTCTAAATAGCTATACCTTTTTTTCTTTTTAATAAGCTCTCATTTGGATGACAAAGAACATATCAAAGTAGAGCTGTCCACAGCCTCAAGTGCTCTTCCTGCCTCTTGCCACATCCCCCTCCCCCATAGCAGGCCCTTTGGTGGGTCCATGGAGTATAAGATGAAAACAACAATGACAATGAGAATTCATTGATGAGTTTGAACAGGAAATGGATATAATCCATCTGCATTTTAGAAAGTCCAGCATAGTAGGTGGAATATAGACTAAAATCAGGATGACTAGGTAGTACTTACAGAACTCAAGGCAAAAAAAAAATGTCATTAGGGCCTATAAAAGAGGAAGAAAAGGGAGAGATTTTTAAAGAGTTATTTTGGAGGGAGAATCAGTAGGACTTGACAACTAACTAGGTACGCGTGGTGAGAGAGAGACCATGGGTGGCTGATGGTACCCTTCACTGGCATAGGGAATACAACTTAATTCAAGTAAAGGGAGAGTTTACTATAGGTACTCATGGTCATCTCCCAAACTGAAGTGTAGGTAGGCCTCATCAGAACTGGAAAAGAATCTTGAACCTGGTTCTCTCTCGGGGGCCAGTGTCTCTCTGCATGTCTGTTCCATTCCCTTCTTTTTCTTTGATTACCTCAGAGTTTCTAATCCCTCATAACTCCAGGTCACTCATGAACATAGTGGCTATTCTGGTTCCAATGCCACATGAGCTGCCAGCTCAAGCACCTATCACCAACTGTGTAATTTCTTCCTCCCCTGGGGGTACTGATTGGGCCAGGTAATCATTTCAAATCAGACCAGTTTTAAATATATACCTATGAGTGGGTTACTCTAGTCAAGTATCCATCCCTGGTCCAATCAGTTGTTGGCAGAGGTCATGCTGTAACACAAACTGGAGTCACCACTTACTGGTGCTTACTATGTAACAAATGTCATGACTGAATTCTCACAGCCATTCCAAAATAGGTATTATCATCTGCATTTAGAGAAGAGAAGCCAAGGCCTAGAGAAGTTAACTGACTTGCCTAAAAACATATGATATTAAGTGGCAGAGTCAGTATGAATACAGGCTACTTTAGTTCAAAACACTGTCTCTACACGGTGCCCATTCAGCAGGAACTAAGTGTGAAAAGAGCAGGCAGTGACTGGCATCTCTCATACATCTGAACTTGGACAATCTGAATGTAAGGTATAGACAGGGCATCTTTGTGAAGAGGGAGATCTAGAATGGAGACAAAGTCAGTGGCCATAGAAATATATGAAGCCAAGGGAAGAGAAAGAATTACACTGAATGAATACGTTGAGTGAGAAGAAAAAATGGTCACAGACAGAATCCTGGGGGAACAGTGAACTGTAAGGGTCAGTGGGAGGCAGGCCCATGAAGACAAGCGAGAGGGAAAAATAAGAAGCAGAAGCAAGAGGGAATAGCATCATGGAATATAAGGGTGGACAGATTTATTTGAAAAAGTAGATTATAAAAGTGCCAAATATCAGAGAGGTGGTTTTTTTAGCCTCAGAACATTTTTAAAGAGCCTGCACATGACAGTAACACTGAGATCTACATTTTAAAGTTTTTCAGGGGCCAGCCTGGTGGCGCAGCGGTTAACTGCACACGTTCCGCTTTGGCGGCCCGGGGTTCACTGGTTTGGATGCCGGGTGCCAACATGGCACCGCTTGGCAAAAGCCATGCTGTGGTAGGCGTCCCACATATAAAAAAAGTAGAGGAAGATAGGCATGGATGTTAGCTCAGGGCCAGTCTTCCTCAGCAAAAAGAGGAGGATTGGCAGTAGTTAGCTCAGGGCTAATCTTCCTCAAAAAATAAATAAATAAAAATTAAAAAAATTAAAAAAAATAAATAAAAAATAAAGTTTTTCAAAATACTTCCACTTAAATCGGTAAAAATATTTTGGTATTCTTTACAAAAACAGAAAGAATAACATTTTCTGAAACTCACAATGTGAAGCAATTAACTTTAACTTCTAGGTCATATCATATATAATTACTTAAGTATGCTGAACTTAAGTATACTTAAGCATATTACTTAAACATACAAGAAGATATTTTTATAGAAATTTTTTCAGTATATTTCAAAAGACTTTGCAAACACTACATCTTCTCATTTATCCTTAGTCAAAGAAGTAGATTCAAATTCATTAACATTTGAAAAATGGGAATGCTAATAAGAGTATAGTGAATAATTTGCCCAAAAATCATGTAAGCAATTTCTGTGTTGTTGAGGGAACTGAAATCACTTCTCTAGTTTGATTAAGACTGGACATATGATTTTGTTTTATAATCAGAAAAAAATGTAAAAAGGAAAACAAGCCAGCAAATCACTGGCTTATATAAGTAATCCCAACATAATTTTTAATGAAAACAAACCATCTCTCTCACAAATTGTCCCTTTCAGAGAAGAAAGCTAAAATTTAAACAGTACCTTATTATGACAACTGGATTTTTCCGTCAGGTCAGGAGACTGAGACCTGTTTCTGGGACTAGGCCACTCTTCTCCAATCAAAGATGTCCTCAAGGAGACCTTGTTTAACTGCTGGATGTATAAGAAGAGCAGAAACTGTAGGGTGTCCACTGAAAGCTGTCCCAGAAGAAAATAAATGATGAGCACATGTCCTAAAACCAGTAGCTAAATAAATATCTACTTATTTACTAAGTAGATATAGTAAAACAAATTCACAACAGTTTGCTGATCCTTAGAAGACAAATGTAGAAACATTGCTAGCATTTGTTACGTTATGTCTTTGATACCCAGTTATAAGATTTCTAAAACTAATTAAAGTGGAGTCATTTACCTTTTCAGAAAGTTATGTAGCATCTATGACCATAGACATTCTCTTCCAAAACTGATGAAGAAAGGATGAAGGATGGGCTTTTTTAGAGTACATTATTTCAGCAGTTTAAAATTATAGTTTAAAGAAAACCCCTCAGGATTTGAATAAATAAATAAATAGAGGAAAGGAAGAACGAAATTTAGTCAAGATACAGAGGTTAGTTTAACCTAAGGCTCACAGACTTATCAAAAAAGTTTAGGATATCAATGCAATACCTGAAATTCTATGTAATTTTTTGGCGTATGTGCATTTTGTGGAGGAGTAGGCCTCAGGTTTTCAACAAATTCTTAAAGGGATGTTTGACTTAAAAAATACTACTGGCCTGACAGACGTTTGTAAATCATTCCTTATTTGAAGAAGGGTGTGGTCTGAAGCTCAGGATTTGACGGTCATGATTATCTTCATATACCCATTCCCACACACACACACACAGGAGAGCCAAAAAAGTGAAGAAAGACAACTGGCTCTATAGCTATACTCACTCTGATTCCCAACCTGGCTAAAAATTGCTATACCTAAGAAACTTAAAAATACGGATTCTCAGGATCACCTAGATCTAGTCGATCAACTGCCTATGTGCAACCCTGCAAATCTACATATTTAAAAAATTTTTTAGTTTCTTAAACTTTTTGTTTTTTTAAAGATTGGCACCTGAGCTAACATCTGTTGATAATCTTTTTTCTTCTTCTCCTCCCAAAAGCCCCCCAGTACAGAGTTGTAAATTCTAGTTGCCAGTGCCTCTGGTTGTGGTATGTGGGACGCCGCCTCAGCATGGCATGATGAGCGGTGCCAAGTCTGCACCCAGGATCTAACTGGGAAACCCCGGGCCACCAGAAGCGGAGTGTGCAAATTTAACTACTCGGCCATGGGACCGGCCCCAACTAAACTTTTTGAGATAAGTGTAGATTCACGTGCAGTTGTACGAACTAATAAAGATCCCATGTACACTTTACCCAGTTTCCCATCTTGCAAAACTATAGTCCAAAAGCACAACCAGGGTATTGACATTGATGCAGTCAAGGTACAAAATACTCCAATCAACACAAGGATCTCTCATGTTGCCCTTTTATAGCCATATCCACTTCCCACTTCCCTCACCCCTTCCATAACCTCTGGCAACCACTTATCGGTTCTCTATCCCTATAATTTTGTCATTTCAAAAATGTTATATATTGGGGCCGGCCCCATGACCTAGTGGTTAAGTTCACGCACTCCGCTTTGGTGGCCCAAGGTTTCCCTGGTTCAGATGCTGGGCGTGGACATGGCACCGCTCATCAGGCCATGCTGAGGTGGCATCCCACATGCCACAACCAGAGGCACTCACAACTAGAATAGACAACTATGTACTGGGGGGCTTTGGGCAGAAGAAGAAAAAAAAATGTTATATAAATGGAATCATACAGTATGTAACATTTTGAGATTAGCTTTTTTTCCACTCAGCATAATTCCTTGATTTTATACATACTTCCATTTAACAATTATTTGTTATCATTATTCCTTCATATACCTGCCTCCCCATGAGACTATAAGATCCTTGTCTTTTTCATTTTTATATTCCTAGTAACTAGCATAGAATATAGCACACAATAAGGACTCAAAACATTTGGAGCTTCTCGAAGGTTTGATTAATCTCTGCATCCACAGCATCCACTGTTGTACCTAGCACACAGCAGGCACTCAATAAATGTTTAATTAATGAATAACTATAATGCCCCTCCCCTCTTAGTCACTGGCCAAATGGTTTTTCAATTTCCAAAGCCTTGTTCAGATATTACCCCATGTGGCAGAGACTGGCTAGATGCTAATTACCTTTTCTTTTCTTGCTGGGCACACAATTAGATGGCATTTTGCAGCCTCCCTTGAAATTAAATATGGAATAACTGGGTTATAGTCAATGGAATGTGGATGGATTTACATATACCACTTTCAAGCCTCTCCAAAACTCTCCCAAAAGATAAGGAAGTGAAGGACTCTGAGGTCCTAGTGGGCATGGATGTGGCAAATTGTATTATATTTGCAATTGTTCACTTCCCTATCCTCCAAGAGGCTTATACGACCCTATTCATGGCCATGGGATTTCCCTAACTCCTCTGAGGTAGTTTACCTTCCCATCTTATTGACTTTAGGCATGGATGTGTGCCAAAGCTTTAGCCAATGCAATGAAAGTAGTTGTAGTTTATGTCACATCTTTGCAAAAGTTTTAAGAGGCATATCCTGCTCTGTTGCTCTTCCCTTCTGTCACAAGAATAGGCATGACCTACACAGAAGCTGTTTCTTCAGCCTGGGTCCCCAAATGAGTAGACACATAGAGCCAAGCCACAGCCTGGAAGATAGCCAAGCTAAGGTGCAGCCTACATGTAAAATGAACAAGAGATAAACCCTTGTTACCAGAACTCATTTTTGTTGGTTTGTTTTTAACTGCAACAAAGCTGACTAATATAAGAGTGGCTCCAAAGGATAGAAGACACCTAGATCCCTGAGTCACTGGTTGGACAACAGCAGCCTAGGGACTCATCTGACCAGATGCCCTGTGTTTGACGGCTGCATGAATGAGAAATAAACTGTTATTGTGCTAAGCCAATGAAATGCTGGAATTGCTTGCTACTGCAATTAGCCTCCTCTGATTAATATACTTTCTCTGTGAAGTCTTTCCTGGTCATCAGAATTAATCATTCTCTTCTCTATTCTACTTTTGTACTTTATGCATACTTTTATTATTGTACATTCCACACTATTAAATGGCACTTTTTTACACACCAGCTTCCCCTACTAGTCTATGAACTCCATAAGGGCAGAGACACTGTTCTAATCATCTTTGAATCCCAGCACATAGCAGATGCTCACTTAAAAAACAGTCAGGTGCTCTGACTGTAACATATCAGTGGTTCCTAAGCACTCACTCACCTCAAAATAGTTTTAAAGTCAATGAAAATATTTCCCTCTTTCAACTGCAGGCTTCCTGTAACATTATTGCTTTGGAAATAGGTGAATAAAGATTACTAAGTAAGGACTAATTCATTAAATATTGCCAAACTGGAACTGCTAAAACTCAAATAGTTCTTTGGGATCACCATGGTTAGGTTAGGTTAATACCTAAAACTACACAGTGTATAGCTAGTACAAAAATTAAAAATAGTTTATTTCCCAAAGTAACTAAACACACACACATATACATATAAATCCAGACCTGATTTCTTTGCTTTTCGACCTCATCCTCAGTCATGCAGTTGGACAGAATCTCAGACCATTCCAGGCGCTCCTCCGGCGTCTTCACTGCAAGACTATCAAATATTTCAAAGTAAAGCCACGCCAGATCCTTAGCCAGCTGCAGTTTCCCACACGCAATGTGCCTCCATGTAGACCAGTACAGGCGTGGGTAAGCTCCCTCTGTGGCCCGGGTTCGCACATAGGTGGATATCTTCCTGAGATAGTGAAGACTGAACTTGGATGGAGGGGGGACCTGCAAGGCACCCACCATAAAGGGTTCTGCTTTTACCCAGAGGAGCACTCCGGAGTGATCCATATTATCTCTAAGGACATCCGTGTGAAAAGGCTTCTTTGCATACCTAGGAAACAAAGTCTCTTCACAAACTGATTTGAAACAAAAGTCATTTATACATTTTTCTCGTAACATGACCCCTCCCTTAACTGTTTTTAAATATACTGTCAGTTTAAAAAGCAGAGCTAGTTCATCAACCAAGAGCAGAACAGATCTTCTGTCGGATCTCATTACAACCTATTTGAGCAAGAAAAATTTTGTGATAAAACAAAATTATCTTACTTGAATTGTTCCAAGTGGTTGTTTTTAGAGAGAGTGTGTAAATGCATGAGGTATGAGGTGGATCTCTGCTCAGGACAAGAAGAAAAGAAGAAATGTGGAAAAGAGTCGGCCTATCATAGGAAATCTTGCTCTACCCTGAGGGGAATACTAGTCAAAACAAGGGCAATAAAACTTCAGAGTCAAATCACTTACACAGAGACGATGGTTGGTTAAAGATTTGGACGTGTTAGCTGACCATATAAGCTCAACATGAAACGCTAACAGGTGGCAGACAGGAATGCTCATGTAAATGTAGGCTGCAAAAATAGATCAAGGGAAGTTAAAGCATCTTTATTCTCTATAACAGTGAACCCACTCTGGCATATGCTACTGTGCTTAGTTCAGGTGGGATATTTTTAGATTTTGTTTGTTGTTTCTTTGTTATAACAACGATACACTATTTTATGGAATATTTATAAAATATCTAAAAATAGAAGGGGATGAATCATCCACAGTCCCACCACTAAAGGGAATCTAGTTAATACTTTATTGTACTTCCTTCTTGTCTTTTTTTCTACACAGATTGGATGTTAAATTTTTGAATTTTCATAGCTGTGATAATTACAGCTGTATTATTATATATATACAATCTGTATTATTCTATAAACTTCATAGCACTCTAAATGAATGTACCTTAGTTTACTCAACTGTCATCCTATTTTCAGACATTTAGTAGTTTTAAAATTCTTCACAAAAACAAGATGGCAAAATATTGATCATTGTTGAAGCTGGATAATGACTACATGGGGGTTCATTTACCTACACTACTTTTGTGTGTGTTAAAATTTTCCACTATAAAAAGTTTAAATGTTTCACTCATAAATAATGCTATAATTACCATCTTTCTGCATATTTTCTGCATTATGATTAATTTTCCAGAGAAAATTTTCAAATGTGCATTTGTGAAATGAAGTAATTGACATTTCTGAAGCTCCAGACATCTATTTCCATTGCTTTCCAAAATGCTTGCACCAAATTGTACCATCACTTGACCAAGGTACCCTCTTCAGTGAGCACTCCTCGGCATTGAGTAACATCACTTTAAAAACCATCCTTACGTGAGTGATGAAAAAATGTTTTATTGCTATTATTATATTTTGCATTCGGTTCTAAGGAAATCGTACTTCATTGGGGAATTTTCTGTTAAAAAGAATCGATATCAATTGAGTGCTTACTATGTGCCAGGCAGCATGCTAAATATTTTGTGTTCTTCACCTCCTTTCATCCTCACAACCACTTGGAGATACACACAATTATCCCATTTTCAGATGAAAACACTGAGGCTTAGAGAAGTTAAGGGACTTACCCAAAGTCACATACTTAAGTTGGCACAGCCCTGGATTAGAATTCAAGTCTGTCTGATTTAAGAACTGTGTTACTTACAAATGTACTTTAGGAACCCAGTTTTGGGAGAATCTCTGAAAACCGTGCGTGGATCCAGGAGAGGATTACCAGAATGAGTGGCCTTAGACGTGAGGCCATATAAAGGCCAGGTGAAGGAACACGGGAGCATGAACCCGAAAGAAGGGTGTGAGAGGGCAAATGGCAGCTGTCTTTCAAGATGGGAATGGCTTAGCGTCGCTCCGAGTAAAATCGGACGACGAAAGCTATGTGAGGAAGATCTTAGTTCGCCCCAAATGGAAACAGGCTGCTTTGTGAGGACTGAGCTCTTGTCCCCGAAGTGTGCCTTAAAAGCCAGATCCTGCGGATGAACCGCCTATTCTAACTCCGGGACTCGAGAGGGCTAAATTCGTAAACACACATAAACGGGGCTCTTTCTCTCTTCAGACGCTTCCCCGAGGGGCGCTGGGGTTAGGGCTTTTCGGGCGGGAAGATCGGCGTGAGGTCCAAGTCGGTCCTCTTGAGGCTCCGCCGCCACCTCGGATGATGTCCGCGGTGGGACGCTGTCCGCGGTCGTGCGCGGCATGGGCCGCCCCAGCGCCCCGACTGGACTTCAGAAGAGCGAAGCCCCAGCCGTCAGGGTCCTTCGTGGACCGGTGACCTGGCGAGCGTGTAGGCAGCCTCACCAGCCCGAGCCTGAAGCGTAAGCGGCTCACCTCTCCTCCCCGGCGCCGGACCGTGCGCGGTACCTGCGAAGGCGGGCGCCGCTCCGCCGACCTCTCCGCGCGCCGCCGCGCCCAGCTCGCCTGGTCCGCCCCTCACCCGCCGCCTTACACACCGCGCAAGCGCGAGGCCTCGCACCACCGAGACGTGGAGGATCATGTTGCTAGAGCGGCCAACTGCTTCTCCCTTGGGCTGAGAAAAACATGGTTGACGCTGAGAGATGCCGGGACCTGGAACCCGACGCCGCTTTGTGGTGCCGCGCCCTTCAACTCAGGGGAGTAGGAAGGGTTTTTTTTTATTACTCCACAGAACTGTGGTCAGCCAATAGCTGCTAGAAGGTCAGCACGCTTTGGTCAATAATAACAATAACAACTTACCTTTATGGAGAGCTTACTATGGGCTGGACACTGTGTAAAACCCCTTTGTATGTAGTATCTCAGTCTTTCCAAAAGCCCTTTAAGTTAAGTACATTTGTTTTACTAATGAGGAAACTAAGGCATAGACAGGTCAAAGTAACACACCCCCTAAGGCCACAGCAAGGGACAAACGCAGGCCAGCGAGAGCCCCCAGAGTTAGCTCCTTAACTCGGTTAGCTTTCCCGCCATGTTACCACCTTCAAGAAGCTTTTTTGGATTCCACCCAGCAGAAGACCTCACTCCTTCTCTAAGTCTCCATTTCATGAGTTTTGGCCATTTCCTGCTTTCTTCGTTCGTTTATGGCCTCTTTAGATGTGGGAGATACGAAGGCAAATAGGGCCATAAAATGAAGTTTAGTTCCTCCTTTACGTGGCTCTCCCACCTAATAGGCACTTCCTGAAAACAGTAACCTTGTGTTCCTCTTACCTCTGCTAGAGTCAAGCGGTAAAGAGCAGGGGCTTTGGATTCAAATAGATCTGCATTCGGACCCAAACTGCACGACTAAGTAGCTCAGTGACCTGAAGCAGATTCTGTCATCTCTCTATGCCTTCGTTTTCTGCAACAGCAATATTTACTGAGCACCAATGTGCATCTGGCACAGTGTTGAGCACTAGGATTACAGTAGTGAACAAAACAGATAGGTCCTTGTTTTCTTGGAGTGTATACTTTAACAGGGAGAATAGATAATACATATTAAGGAAATAAAGCAGGATAATTGCAGATTTAATAAACGCTATGAAGTTTGAGGGGGAAGGGGATCAGTGCCAAATTTGAGCTGAGGCCTGAAGAATAAGGAGCCAGCAGATGAAGATCATAGTCAAAGCAAATTTTACTGCGTGGCAGGCTCTGTTCTAAAAATAAAACAATAAAGTTCTGTTCTATACAGCTGTGAACAGAATAGTCCAGATTCACACTCTCATGAAGATAGCATTCCAGCGTATGTGAGTGTGGAGGGCAGAGGTGGAAACAATAAGATAAAATAGGATGGTGTAAGAATAAAGGACTCAGCACAGGCTAATTTTGATTGGTTGGTCAGGGAAGTCTTCTCTGAAGTGACATTTAAGCTGCTATCTGAGTTTTAAAAGGAGCACTTATGTTAGGATCTAAGGGAAGAGTGTTTCAGGCAGAGAGAACAGCTAGAACAAAGGCCCTAGGCAGGAATGAGTTTGGTGTATTCAAAAAAGAGAAAGGAAACCAGTTTTGCTGGAACATGGTAAGGAGTATACCAGATGAGGGTACAGATCATACAAGGTTTTTAAAATTTTTCTTCCAGCTTTATTGAGACATATAAGGTTTTATAAACTACCATAAAAGGTTGGGATTTTATTCTAAGTGTAATGAAAAGCCATTCGAGGCTTTTAAGCAGGGGAATGACATGATCTGTCATGTTTGTAAAAAAAATCATGGGGTGAGGGGCAAGAGTGAACAAGAGATATTAGGATATGAAGAATGGAGGCAGGAGGATGAGTTAGGAGGCCCTTGCCAGGTAAGAGATGATGTGACTTGGCCCAGGGAGGTAGTGGAGATGTACAGTAGTGAGCAGATTCAGGATATAGTTTAAGAGCAAAGATATAGATAGGGGATGCAGGAGAGGAATCAGAGTTCTCGTAACTGTGATAACTACTATTCATTGAGTGCTTACGGTGTGTGTGACAAGCGGTTTACAGATTTTTCTCCCCTTAAAACTTCACAACACTGCCAGTAAACGTTTTGCCTCAGGTTTGTAAATAGAGAAGCTTAGGTTAGACTGGAGGACAAGGGAGGAGGATGTTCTCACCGCTAAGAAGTGGTGGAAGCTGAATCCGAACCTAAGTCTCTCTGCCTCCACGCCTCTTCTCTGTGAAACCGAGACAATCTTCTCCTGGGCTTGTTCGGAGAGAGTAAAATAAAATCTCCTAAGCGAGGCATCCGCCATACCGTTGGCAAGGAGGAACTGTCCCCGCCCATTTCGCCCCCGTCCCCCCGCCCACCCGCTTCCACCGCGCAGCTCATTATGAATGAAATTCCAAGACTTGCAGCCGAGATAAAACCTCCCTCCCGCAATTGGTCGGGGCTAGAGAAGGACCCTCGTGATTGGTGGAGAGTCTGAGGAGGCAGGCGGGAGGAACTTCGCGTACCTCGGGTGCCCTCTCTTGGCACCATTTTCCCCACCATCACCCTTTTACGTAATTTTCTACGACTCGCGGATGCCGGGGCTGTCGGATTCCTGCCGCGGCGCGACTCTCTGACGTTGCCTCTTCTCATTGGCTGGGAGGTGCGGCTGCAGTTCCGAAGCCTAACTGGCCGCCCGCGCCGCCTCGGAGGTGAAGTGTACTGCGCTGATTGGCCGCGAGGCGCCGGCCTCGTGTGATGTCCTGAGCAGCGATTGGCTCTCGCCTGCGGGGGGCTTCTCTCGCCGGGACTGGGGACTCCCGGGAAGTGGACAGGCAGAGGAGAGGGCAAGCTAGATGTCGCTCCGGACCTAGTAGGAGACCTCGGTGTGAGGCGGTTTCTCAGGACGGGGTGGGCTGGCGAGGCGACGCGGCGGCGGAGGAGGCTGTGAGGAGTGCGAGGGACAGGGGCCGGCACAGGGGCCGGCACAGAGAAATCATGGCCCCGCAGAACCTGGGCACCTTCTGCCTGTTGCTGCTGTACCTGATCGGGGCTGTGATCGCCGGGTGAGGAACTGGCACCTGTGGGCAAGGGGCCCGTGAGTCAGGCTTGGCTGGGGAGGAGGCTGGAGAAAGGAGGGGCATTGCTGTGGTAAGGCAGTGGGGAATAGGAATGGGTAATGTGGGCCAAGCTAGTGGGATGGAGAGGAGAGCAGTGGGTGACACGAGTGAGAGGAGCTTAGCTCCAGAGGCCCTAAAGAGCTGGATTTGCCCAGAGGAGTGGGAGTTAGATGCAGTGCCAAACACAACGTGTGTGTGTTGGGTGGGGAGGGGGTGTGCTGAGCTGGAGAAGAGGACGATACAATGTTGATCCTGCAAAGAGCCGTTGAGGGGCTGACATTAAAGTGGGTGGGTTATGATGCCAGGGCGATTAAGCAAGGGGAGAATAGGTAGGGAAGCCATCCTGGAACTGAAGGAAATTGCATTGAGGGAGCAAGGCAGGCACTTTGGAGAGCCCTTGTACTTCCCAGCTTCTTAAGATAATGAGCCTAAACTTCATCGTGCCTCCCAGTCTCTCTCCATGATACGTTCTTGGGAAGCTGAATGATATTGTGAATGGGAAGAGCATTTCATCAACAGATAGTAGACTGGGATTGTAGCCCCCACACTCCCACCCCATTTATGAATTACATGACCTTGAGGGAACCACCTAAATTTTCATGTGTAACATGAGGATAATAATGCGCCACCTGTATGAAGGGAGTAGGACCACCTGAACTCTTGAGGATCTTTCCAGCCTTTAAGATCCATGATCCTATAAGCCTGGTGACCACAGGATATGATATGCAAGGCTCATATTTTAGAATGTGAGCAGGTAGGGTCTTAGCTTCTAATAATGTATAGGTTGTTCTAAATGGAGAAGATACTACCTAGCAGAGCTTTAAAATTTCTGTTTGTTATTCTCTTAAAAGTTTTTTCCCTGTTCATATATGCTTAAACTTTGTAATTTTTTTCTGTGAAACATCTTACATTTCTAAAAAAAAATTTAACTTCTCCTAGGTAATACTTTGTTTATCTTAGTATGTTTTTGTTAGTACCTTTTGCATTTAAAGCAACAAGTACTCTAAGGTGTTTAAACAAAATGTCTGTATAAATAGTGTTAATACTGTAGCTTTAAATTTCAGTCATTCATAAAGGAGTCTCTTGGACACTGTAATGTTGACACTGAGCTGTGCTAGCCATCTTTTCCTTGCATCTTTCTGAGCTGTTTCTTAACCATTTCTTGATTAAGCATGTTCTAAGTAAGCCTCATTCTTTATACAGTTAGCTCTTTGTTATAAATTTTAGTGAACCTTTCAATTTTAGTTCTTGTTGCAAGAGATGTCAAGTTTTTGCACATTTTTCGGGGGAGGATAACGCACCTAATTAATCCTCATGGAACCCCTTCTGAGTGATAATTTTAGAAACTTATACACGAAATGACTAAATGATTTTCCTAAAGTGTGACTAAGAGCTTATGAAATAATTTTTTTAATGTTCTGTCTTATATCACCTGGAACTTGGTACCCAGTGCATGTTTTTCCCCACTGCATTTTAAAATGACCATCACTACTACGTTAGCATCTCCGTTGTGAATAACTTTCCCATCCCCTTTGTTGAGAGAATGAATTTTCAGAATAGCTTCTGGTAGCTAAAGTGACTCTAGCAAAAGGAATAGATTTTTGTGAGCCTGCTTATTTATTTATTTCATTCCGTGAATATTCGTTGGTGTCTTCTGTGGCCTGGAAACAGTCCCTGCCCTGAAAATTTATTGGAGTCTTATTCTCTCTTCCCATTGGCCCTTCTTGCAAAGATTCCTTTTACAATTAAATTGACTCCAGCATAGTCCTTGGCAAGGAGGTCAGTGGATCTCTACCTTATCTCCCTACTCCTGCCATATGCATATTTGCAGCTGCTGAGACTTATAGGCGCCTGCGTATGGGCTTTAGCAGCTGTCTGTAATTAAGACCTGACCTAGCCAAACTTTTATAACTACTAGCAATGACTGCAAGTTTGATATTTTTTCTCTCTTTCAGCAAAAAACCCTGCAACTCATGCATCCAAATGGGTGTAATTCTTTCTTCAAGGTTCTTATTTGGACTTTGTGTTAACCTCCATGTTAACATCTAAATTAATTCGGTCGCTCTATCTTTAACATTCCAACAGTGCTACTGGTAGTCACGACATTTATGTGACATAATCTTTTTGAATAAAGAAAATCATCCTTTGGGGTTATTTGACCTTTGGAAACAGCCAAAAGTCATTTGAAGTCAGTAATAGGGGGAAAAAAGAGAGAGTTAGTCTGGTTATATAGTTATTGGTTGAAAATAATATGTGGCCATAAAATAGGGAAATGGTTTTCTTGACTGAAGGTAGTTCTAAGAGAAGAACTCCACAGATATTTTGAATAATTCTAACATTGTTCAAAAAGTACATAGCCTCTCATTGTGATTTCTTCAATGTATAAGACTCATTGCAAGTTCTGGTATGTTCTCTTTTTAATCATTCTTTTTTATGTGTATATGTCACCTGTTACCTTCATTTTCCTACATCTTTGCTCAGATGCAAACCTAAATGTAAAGGAAAAAATTTCGCTTTAAAGATGTAATTTGTAACTCTTTAATGAAGTATCCTCTTCCTCTCCCCACCCCAGGCGAGATTTCTATAAGATCTTGGGGGTGCCTCGCAGTGCCTCTATAAAAGATATTAAAAAGGCCTACAGGAAACTTGCCCTGCAGTTGCATCCTGACCGGAACCCTGATGATCCACGAGCACAGGAGAAATTCCAGGATCTGGGTGCTGCTTATGAGGTGAGTCAGGAAAAAGGATCAAGTATGCACAAAACCTAGAGATACAGAAGAGACCATGTAACTCAGAGTAACACTCCCTTCTTTCAGGTCACTTCTTTTTAAATATAGACAATAGATAAAAGTAAAAGTAGTGCTTGATGCTCTATTGTACAGTAATGTTAGATGCCATTTCCTGCATTTTTCATATTAGTATTTGTTTTATTGAGAATAATGTTGAAAAATATGAGTGAGAGAAAGAAAGATTGATAGATTAATAAGCAATTGATCATCAATCAATCAGTTTGGGAGCTGGAGCTAGAAATAGAAACAAAATCTAAATGAGGATTGCAAACCCTCATGCCCATAGGACCAGACAAATAACATGCAGGGCAAGTGTAAGATAAAACATGATAGTGGATATTCTTACCTCCATATTGGAAATTGATAGGAATTGACGAGAACTTTGATAAACTGAAGCCTTTGCCCCATTTCTTGCTTGACCCTAGCCAATTTTTCCATATACAAATGCAAACACTGTGTTGCCAGTCATTTAATTTTTCAAGAGTAGTGGAAATCCAGATTTCTATGTCAGTTCTCCTGATTGTAAAATTTTGGTAACTAAGGAATATTTTTTGAATGCTTAATGAACTATTTACTTTTTGAAAAACTGTTATACACAGAACCTTTCAACACTATGGTGAAAAAATTCCATAAATAAGCTATTGATAATCTTTCATATCTATTAATTTAGGAGTTGGCTCTTTTGTATGTGTTGCAATTCATCTTTCTTAGAAATAGAATAAGAGATCTCTAGTTTAACTTTTTTTTCAGCTTTATTGAGGCATAATTGACAAATAAAATTGTAAGATATTTAAAGTGTACATCATGATGATTTGGTATACGTATACATTATGAAAGGATTCTGCCCATCTAGTTAACTAACACATCCATCCCCTCACATACTTATTCTTTCTTTGGTGAGAACATTTAAATTCTGCTTTCTTAGTAAATTTCAGTAATACAATACAGTGTTACCAATTCTAGTCACCATTTATTCCCATTTTCTAAAAGGTCACAGAAAAAAATAATTTAACTCCAAAAGTCATGGAGCCAAAACTTCTGAATTCAAGTTAAATCCTTGTAGAGTGGGAAGGCTGGAAACAAATCTGAAAAATATTTTAGTAGTGGAAAAAAACCCGAAAGGAAAGGATGCCAAGGCCTCCTAGATTAAAGAAGAGAGTGAGCTAAAGCAGTGACTTATACAGGTGAAACTTAAAACTAATGGAGTCCCCCTTTCTTCTCTTGACACCGTCAGGGACCCTGTAGGGCTGGAATTCCTAACAGGAGGCCCACAAACAAACTTGAGAGGGTTGGTAGACCCTCTTAAATTATATGTACCATTTTGTTTCTTGTTGATAATATGGATTTCATATTTTGCACTGTATTTCCCATGAATATTCCTATTGTTTGGTGGGAACCCAGTACTCAAAAATATTTTCTAGGAAAATTGTTGCTAAGAATTTGCCATGCTCTTTACAGAATCTGCCATGTTCTTTAGCCGTGACCTAGGCTGGCTATGCAGAGATCATTCATGAGATTGCATTTTATTTAACTCTAAGAACGTTTCTAGTCACTAGTTCAAATCTAGTTCAAATTTTCTTATTTCTTTGTATCACTCACTTTATTGCGTTTGGTCCTTAGATAAATTAGTGTTCACAAATCAGAATCCCATTAAAGTTGAAGAGTCTTTTGTGAATACAAATCTGTCTTCTCTACTGAGCTGGGATTACTGTTGGCATTTTAATTAGTTGAGACTCTGGGTTGGTTGGCCAATCAACTAAGAA